GCAGCATGACCCTACCCCTCTTACGAAACTCTTCCTATGCAAGCCTGGATCATGTGTGGCCTAGTTTTTTTTTTTCATAAGAGGAGAAACTGAGCGAACTGCAGCACATACCACAAGAAAAGGCCTGCCAACGAGCTGGTTTACACAGCAGCTCGGCCGCAGCGCTTTGTCACTGTCAAGGTAGGGTGATTTACAAGAGGAACCCAACACTTTAGGCGACAAAAGAAGGAGAAGAGTAGTTGCAGTGCGTCACACCAGATCTGTCATTTCAAAGACAGCGAAAGCATCGTTGTGATTTTGAGGCAGCCCGTTGAATGTTTCCCTTGGAAGGCTGTTCACCTGCTGAGCTGCAGCCCGAATCTGTACATCTGACCTTTACACACAAGCACTTTATAGATTAGATTGCTTGCACTTTGGAGACACCCTAACCCTTTTTTGGAGGGGGGTGTAAAAAAGGTTGCAGAGTTAGTTTCTCACAATTCCCTAGGCCCGAACATCTGTCTATTCACTCTAACGTCTCGCGGGAACTCGACAAATACTTGGGAAGAGTGGGTGGAAGACACACAAACACACGGAGCCAGTTGTGTTAGAGCAACAGGGGGAGGCGCAGCGTTGACACCAATTCCAAATCTGCAGAGGCAACACTGGTTTCCACTTATGCAACTTTCTGGAAGAGCTCTCCTTGAATTAAAGTCGAATTATTATACACTTCGATTAGATGATTCAATCAAAAATAATGTGTAAAAATGAGCTTCTCCTTAAGGAATCATGCAAAAGCACCACTTTTAAATCGTGTGTGTAGCAGAAATGTGTCCATATATTTCTTGAAAATAGGTAATTCAGCATTTTTTATTTTTTTTTATCTTAGTCAACTTAGAGGGGGAAGCCCAACTTTTTGGAGCCCCAAAATCAACCCCATGCGTCTTTACTTTGGAATAACTTGCTCTCACTTGATTTTAAATGAAAAACAAGATTAGTTAAGACATCAGAATATGCAATATCCTTTCCTCAGGTGTTTTATGTAACAGAGGGAGGAGGTCATGTGCACCTTGAACCCGTATCTGTTGTGGCCTGTCTGCTCTCTCTCTCTCTCTCACAGAGGCTAACAGGTGATATGAAATTGCCCTGCTCACCACTTTCTGCTCTGACAGCCGTGTTGACACAAGTGGCTGATATACTGTTTGAAAAAAATCTATATGGGTGTTTTTAAAAAGGGGGGTGAGTTGATTATTGCAGATGTCTAGCATGCAAACGAGAGACAGGTTAAGCTGCTTAATAGTAGTACTAGTCAATCAGGAATCAAATGTTAAATGAAGGACTAAGGTTGACAGGTGCATATGTGCTTCAGTGTCACAACCTTTGGGACATTTCTCTGCTCCTCTGGGATCAATGCCTGATGTAATATTGCAGTGTCAGCGGGGCATGCAAACCAAACAAGAGGGCAGGGTGTGTTTGAGTTGGGAAAGCTTGCACACAGATAAGGCCCACAGAGAGAGAAACCCTAAAAAGTCTAGGAGTAAACATCTAGCCTGACACTAGCATGATAAGGACTGCTGGGGAGGATGAGCTCCACAGTGAGGCTCAAAGGCACATTCCTCTCAGAGGTCATATACAGACACCTAGGACCTGTTCTAAAAGTATAAAGCACTTTTACATTCTAAGGTAATGGGAGTGCAGCTCAGGTCACAAACTATGTAAACTTGGCTTGGCAAGCTGTAATGATTATTTAAACAACCCTTGCACACTATCCCAAGAATGAAACATGTCAGGATCTGCAGTGCAGCTCTGCAGGCATTGCCACGTTTCCCCTTCCATGCACAGCCTCATACAGTATTAAGTGTGTGTGTGAGTGTGTGTATGAGTGTGAGTGACTTACTTTTGCACTGCAGCTCCACCATGGCCTGGTACCACTCGTCCTGGTCCGCCTCGCTCTCCGCGGCGATGGCGAAGCTCTCGGCCCGGGTGTAGAGCACTATCATGTGCTTGTTCTTGGAGTCGGCCCGCTTGTTTATGTTGAAGCATGTCTCCAGAGCCAGTGCTTTCTTCGGGACGGGGGCCTTACCGCGGAATTTCTTCTCGCTCTCGTAGTACTCCAGGCGGGCCGGGCCGCGCTCCGAAGCGGCGCGGAGGACGAAGTACCGCCGGTGCATGGACTTCTGCTTGCGGAGATAGCCGCTCTTCCGCACATCCTCGGTGCTCTGGATCTCGCCCGCTTGTTGGCTCTCCATAACTACCGACATCATGTTATTTCTCTCTGAAAAAAACAAACTATTTTTTAAGTTTAGAATGATAATTCATCCGCTCCCCTCCCTCTCTCCCACATCAACGCAGGCATGTGAAAGAGGGGAGGCTGGGGTCGGGTCGCTGCTACTAATAGTCCCGCCGGTTGAACCTGAACCAGGGGGCTGCAGTTGCGGTTAGTTCCCCCCTTTTCAAGCTTGTTCTTCTGGGTGTTTTTCTCTCCGGCCGGTGCAAGTTTTCCTCACAGCCGAGCACATGCGGCACAGTTCGGCGCGCAGCTCCCCACTACTACTACTAATACTACGACTACTACTGCTGCTGCTCCAAGAGGTTTAATCCCATGTAGTGCACATTACACAGCACAGAGTCCATCCTGTCGGTCTGTCTGCGTCTGCGTCTCCCTCTGTGTGTCTGTCCCCCCACCCCTGCTGTCCTGCTCCGGTCTTCTTGTTGCTGTTGAGCAGCTACCGTGGAGCAGCAGGACTGTCACTCAGCGCTGTACTAGTATACTGGGTCCTCGGTGCGTTCAAGGACCGATCCCGAGCTCAGACAGCAGAGCTCCCGACGTTTCATTCGTGCATTCCTGTGCTCCAAATCCGGATTTGTGACAGATAGATGAAATCACTGAAAGTAACTATACTGAAGATTTCTACAGTAATATAATGTATAATAGTAGAACATAATAAACCAATTTATAGAATAAAAGAATAATAATAATCACTGAATAAATAGTTGAAAGTGATTGAATGAAAATATAAATAAGTCAGGTTAAATTACTTCATGGGGAAAGTGTTTATGCAGGTGCTTTCTGACATAATTAGAATAAGAAACTGAAATCTTATTAAACCCTTTAAAGTGACTTTTATACTGTATAATTCCATATATTTTTGTTGTTGTATTTCACTTAAAGACAACTTGCTGAAACACAGCTTTATTTTTTAGTAAAATGCAAAAAGTGAGCACAACCTGACATCCAGTAATAAATAACCTTGTAATCCTTTTATAATTGAATAACTATTTAATAACCTTTCATATTAATACTCCTGATTTTTTTTTACATATGTATATTTTCAAATGGTTTGAGCAGTCTATGTGATCTTATATCTTGTGTAATTTCTTTGTACTTATTTTACTTTTTGCAATTTTAATTTAATTTGTGTCTTTTTTTTAATACTTTCTTGGGCTGTTATAACGTCAATGTATCTGTGTGTTTTTCCCCCACAAGTTCACTCAACCAAGAAGCAATATTTCCCACAGCACGTGAAGGCAGCACGGCTTGCAGTGTGTGTGGAGTAAGATTTCACTGTTGGCTTTAACACGAGTCCATCCTGTTCTATTTATTGTAGAAATCCCCCTCTGTCCTGTATTCATTTATATTATATAACAATTCAACTTTCAAATCGCCCTGGTGTTTTCTGAACATTTACATTTTCTACATTTAACGCAGCAGGAGGGTCGCATTTAAACATATTTTAAATCTAGGTTACCAGTGAAACCATTCAATACAATGGTGCTTTTTATTGTTATTGTTCCTAAATGATGCACGAAGAGCAGATTAAGCTGTAATTGATTATATGAGGCTTTTGGAGACGCCATATTTATGCCACTCAGACTGGCTGAGTGAAACGACTTTGATCTGTGTGTCTGTCTCTATGGTCTGTCTGCAAACCTCCATCTCTCCCTGCTGCTTAAATCCCATCGTTGACACATGTAAAACATCACAAATATGCACGTTTAAAATTACCTCTGAATTTCAAATTGCAATAAATATTTTAAAAAGGTCTTTTAATAGTCTTTCTGAAAGCTAGAGGGTTTCTATCTTTGTGCGGTGTGCTTATGCAGTATGTATGTTGTTATGCAATATGCATCCAAAAGTAACCTTGCGCATGAGGTCAGAGAAAAGTGGATATCAAGCGCCCCCTGCTGTGTGAGGTGGACAATACAGCTCTTAAAAATACACTTATTTTACCCACAAAGTGTACTTAACCCTTATGTTGTGTTCGGGTCTCCTGTGACCCCTTTCAAGTTAAAATTATATAATAACTACGCTCTAGTTTTTTTTTATCGGAACAAGGCTTCATGATGATTCACAACAGCTAAACACTAGAAAACAGATTTTGACAATTGTTGCCAAGTCTGATGGTCTCTAAAAATAAGAATTGGTGTTTGGGTCTGTGAAGACCCAGCACAATCATTTTGGGTGACTCGGGGTCAAATTTGGCCCAATCAAGATTCATCTTTGACTTTAGATAAATCAGTCCAAAACACCATGAACAGCAACAGCTTTCGAACACAACACAAGGGTTAAAATATAAAAAAGTAAAAGCAATCATTGTGCCTTTATCTGTGTATATAATTATATTTATACATGTGACATTTGTAGATGATATTGTTGCATCAAGTAGCATTTCACTGTTGAAAAACAAAGTTCTGATGGACTGTTTGTAAAATATTTAAATTATTTGACCCTTTTTTGACTTAAAGAGAAAGTCCACTAGTATAATGTTTAGAAATACCTTTTGTTAAAAATAGCTAAAGCTGTTTGATACATTTAGTGGAGTAAAATTACATAATTTACCTTTTAAATGTAGTGGAGTAGAAGTATAAATTAGCATTAAATGGAAATACTCAAGTACCTCAAAATTGTACTTAAGTGCAGTACTTGAGTAAATGTACTTAGTTACTTCCCACCTCTGGTTCTCCATGTCATTTCACAGTTTTGAAAGGTAAAGTAAAGAAACACCCAGAGCCAAACTGTCTTAAGAAGCAACAAACTGATTTTATGAACATGAATACTCGTCTTCACAAAGACACATTAATCTCTTTTCTTTTTGGCATATACGGGGAAATGAACTTCGCCTCCATGTCAACAAAAAACAAAAAAACATTATGGTCCGGAACGTGAAGCAATGACGAACTGTTTATACACATTTAAGTTATTCTGAAATTTCTTTTACATTCAGTAGCATCTCCTTTTAGCCCTCTAAGCGCATGCAGCCTAGGAAGTGGAAAACATACATTATCCTTCCACAGGATGACCTGGGAAGAAAAAAAAAACGATGAGTAATGCAAACATGTTCCACACACTCAACACGGAGAAAAGCCTGTCTCGTCTTTAGAGGCTAACTCCCGTGCACCAGGAGGCTGTTAAGGCTGTCATGAGCTCCTGTAGAAACTCACGATCCGGCTCTTCCTTTTGGACGACTGACTCGTTTGTTTAGAAGACGCTGATGCACAGATAGGCAAGTTTTTTTTGCACTTTAAAGCAGGAGATGAAAGCAAAGTAGCAGCAGCGACATGTGTGTGTGTGTGTGTGTGTGTTTTGTTTCTGCAAAAATCATAGAGGCGTTGTTCTACTCTCGACTCCCACAGAGCCCTGAGGAGGCGTCTACTGGCACACAAACACCTTTTTTGACATATGGTACAAACACAGCAGGCGACCGATCCCAGACACACATGAATACCATAATTACATTCACACATTTTTTTGTTCCTCACTATAACACGTAAACACAGACAGAGGGGGGGGGGAGAGAGGGGGAGAATACTCCAGAGGCATTGAAATGGCAGCGACTCCTCAAGTTCTCCCTTTTTTCCCAGAGATGAAGTAAGAAGAGAAGGGGGGGGGGGGGTCAGATGAAAGGGTTTCGCGACGTCCCTCTACTGGCGTAAACATTGCCCTGAAAGACAAGAGAGGAAGGGGGTGAGAACGGGCAGAGGGGATTTTACTACACTTCCTGTTTGCAGAAAGGGAGAGCTTGTGCAAAAATACCAATTAGCCCCTCTTTAATCCCCCCTACTTTTGTTTGCCAGGCAGTGAACTCACCGTAAACGGGTTCACCGACATCGGACGAGGGACTTTGGGCTGAGAGTCGGGCGCGGGGAATGAGGCGAAACCTGAAACACACACACAGGACGAGAACAGAAAAGGAAACATGCTTAGTGGTGTGAAGACAGCAGCAGAGTATTGGTATTCCTGAGCGCTTCCTGGTGAACACTGTGGAAATAATGAATGATTTGGAGCCTCACAGTGTTTGATCTGCAGCCAACGCACACACTGTACACGTCAAACTGCCAGGGTGCAGGGTGTTCATTTTGAATGCTGAATATATCGATGAGATAATCTAATAGTTTGAAGCTGTATCCATAACGCTTACATTACAAACCACATATGAATGCTTTTTCTTTCGTTTGGCATGTTGATTCAATCTGCTTCAATTTGATATGTTGCAGATAAAGATTAAATTACACTTAAATCACTCAAATGATACTATTTGTAGAATTGAATCAGCGCTAAATGCACTTTAATACAGGGGGTATCTCCTCTTGCACTTTACATGTCGTTGCTGCTATTGTATTACCATGATGTCATAAATACTTGTGTATGCTGCTCTTGCATATCATGTATTTTGTTTTTGCTATGCTTGTCAAATGTAAACTTCTTAAATTAGCTCAAAGCACTGTTACGCTTGACACATTTGAATGTTTTAAGTGTTCATTACCGTTCATTGTCCCTGCCAAATAAACGATTAAATTAAATTAAATTCCAGTGCTGGTGATGTAGGATTATTTGACTCGTCATATCCAGACATTTCAAATAAATCCAGAACGTTGTAGAGTCCAAAATTCAAAATGTATTGCAAAAATAATACATGATTTTCCCATTTTACACGTTTTATTCTAATAAAAATATTCTGCTTCCATCTATACGGGTATTCACTGAGTTCCAAAAAATGACTTGCTCTCCAATTTGCCGCAAAAAATGTAAAACAAAACAACGAAAGAGTCCCATTTTTCATGTATTCAAGTGCGATAGCTTTATAAACTATCATGACAGACATCAAAAGCTTGATTTAAAAACCTCAATAGAAGCTTCAAATGTAAGGCAGTGTTTCCCCTATATGATTTCAGCAGCGGCGCTGCGCCGCTGCTGAAATATGCGCGCCGCTGCTAGGGGGCGCAAGCCCCCAAGCAGATAAAAAAAAAAAAAAAAAAAAAAATTTTTTTTATTAAAAGAATTATAAGTGCTGCCCCCTAGCGCTCGCGGCAACTTGAGCCACCGATACGCGGGAAAGCTGTCATTTTCAGAGCTGAAGGAAAACTGCCTGACAAGACAGACAACAGCAAGTTGAAGCAGACATAACTTTATTTGGACACAATCACCTCAAGAAGAAGGTCATAACGCCATAAATGTAAGTTATTATAATGTTGTTACATTTAGATTAAGTAAATTAATACTTTGATAAAAGCCTACAGTTAAGAATGAATTACATCTAGCTAACTTAGCTAGTTTGTAAGGGATAATGTGCAGCGACGCGGTCATTATGGGGAAAAGAACACCCGACAGGCTG